GTGTGTGTGTGTGTGTGTGTGTGTGTGTGTGTGTGTGTGTGTGTGTAGTCTCCCTTTTTTATTTAATTTTGTCGCCCATGCTTGAATTCACGTAAAATATTGAACGCATTTCTGCGTAACGTACACGGGCGAACGGAAATTTGGCTAACTATACCGTGCCAAAATAATTTCGGTCATATTCCACGTTGATTTGCACACATAAATCATTATGGTTATATAATTACGATTTTGGCTAACTCCCGAAACTTCAGATATAGTCAATCTTTTTATAATTTAAATGTGGACCTCTTCGTTAGAACAATAATATTTTCAAATAGTACATTTTGCTCTAATAAGATTTTATTGACATTTACAACATACATTAATAACAAACGTTATATTGTTCCGTAAGAAAAATTGTAGTTATGGCAATATTAAAAATCCGTTCACGCCATCGCTCAAAAAAGTCGAAAACGACCAAAGCGTGCCGTGTATATATTTTAATAAAGCTGGCAACATGCGATGTCTCGTTTTTTACAGGGAAAAACGCGATTTAAAATAACGGCAATGTAAATAAAACTTTACATCATAAAATACGGAACATAAAATATCACCAGTATCAATAGTATATAAAATACTCCATTATATGACATTTAGTAAAATATCATATTTAAATTATACGCTCGCTCGCTGTGTCCTTGCGTTACGGATCTTTGAGGTCTTTTTTCAAAATCGACGAGAGCGTCTCTTTATTCCTTGGACAACGGGCGAAATGCCAGTGTCATCTCACGAGGAAAATGAATATTAATATAAGCACTTCGGTCGACCGTGCGATTTCCTCGACGAGGCAACGAATAATATAATAGCTGGTCCGCGGGAGATGCGTCTGCGACCGAGAGGGCGAAGCACCCGAAGACGAAGTGTTCTCATTATACCCGGTGATTTATGTGCGTGCCACCTTGCCGTCGGAAGAGATTCTAGGTTAGAAATAAAGTTAAAAGAAAAATAAGGCTTACGGGGTGCAAAGTCGAGAAAGTGTGGAGGGGGGGAGCCGCGGCTCGCGGAATATATTACAAAAATAAGCTCGCCGGCGAGCGGCGAGACGCGGCGCGGCGTGCGGAAAAGCGCCGAAAAAAACTTTGAAACTCCTTGGGAGGAGCCTTGAAAGATCGATGCCCCCCCCCCCCTCGACCTGCCCTGCCGTGTAACTTTTCTTGTTTATCGAGGCGCGGGAAATAAAAATCCGGCAGCCACGATTCGCGCAACCGTGCAAATAACTTCGCGTATTTCGTGAACAATTTTTGCAGCTCATTGGCAACAAAATTTTTTTTAAGGAAAGAGTAGAGAGGGGCACAACTTTGAATCGAGTCGTATCTTGAAGACAGATCGAATGTGACTAATTAATTAGCATTTCTTGCGGTGGCGTAACGTGTCAGCTATTTTTTGCTCATTTACGATTCTTTCAGAGTTAATATTATATATCCAGAATTTCTTATCAAAGAAAAAGAAATAAAGAGTAAAAAAAAAAAACGATGAGCTTCTAACGGCTTTTAACAACGCTAATTTTGTTTCGTTTAAGCTCTTGATTTATTTACTCGCATTGCGTGTATCTCTTTGTATTTGTTCCATAATATAATGTTTTATGTAAAATAAATGGCTGAATACAACACGATTACTCTCATTTCACGAATGGTGAATATGCTTATTTGAATTTTTCTATCGATCATAAATATATACGGAAATATCTGTTTTACTGTCTCCTGCTGCTGTTTGTTGATGCGACGTACCATTATGTATAATAATTGTAATATTGATCTGTTTTAGGGACACATTGGTGAAAATCCGTTTGATAACGGTTCGTGGGGAAAGGAGCATTTTCAGCCATCGACAGTTCCCTGGCAGCTGAATCCGCGCAGTCACGGTCGTCCCAGTGTGAGTGTCTTTATTCTTTCTTTTACCTCGTCTAACTTATCGCCAACGACGCGCCAACAGCATCGATTTCAGACAATATTTTTATATATTAAGCAGTAAAAATAAATTCGATTCTACTAAAAAAAACCACCGCCGCTGACCAAAATACGAATAAAACGAAAACTTACCTTAGACTGATATTTTTTTCACCTCAATCGGTTGCATATTTCGCGTAATGCGAGATTTAGAGATTATCGGCCGTAATTCTCAGCTCTCCGCGAGGGTGAGATGCGTCAAATTTATAATACCGGCGGTAGCAGGAGTACTCGCGTGTCGAGGATGTGGAAGGAAGGATGGAACGGGAAAAGAAATCCGGCGGCTCATTGTGTCGGCAGGTAGCAAAAATGCTGGCGGGCTCGCCGCTTTCTCGAGCGTTTTCTCTCAGGAGTCGGCCCGGCTACTACTATATCGTCGCACCCCACCTCGGGAGCCTCCACCCTTCGGACCGTAGTCCGACCACCCTCTTACTGCTCGCGCTCACTCTCCCGCACCACTCGTCCTGTCACCCGGTATTTATAATACGCTTTGTTTTCCCTCAGCTATTTGTCTTGGGTTCTCGGCTCCTTCGCTAACATTATTATC